TGTATTCTTGGCTGAAAGTTTTTGTCTTTCAGTATTTTGAATGTATCATTCCATTCTTTCCTAGCCTGACAAGTTTCTGTTGAGAAGTCTACTGAAAGCCTGACGTGGGTTCCTTTCTGGTTTAATTCTTCTGCCTTGCTGCCCTTAATATTTTTTCTTTGTCATTGACTTTTGCCAGTTTTACTATGCCTTGGAGAAGGTCTTTTTGCATTGATGTAATTAGGAGTTCTATTGGCTTCATGTACTTGTAAGTCCAGTTTCTTCTCCCAGTTTGGGAAGTTCTCAGTTATTATTTCTTTGAACAAGCTCTCTGCTTCTTTCTCCCTCTTTTCTCCCTGTGGAATACCTATAATCCTTATGTTTCTTTTCCTAATTGATTCAGATATTTCATGAAGAATTTCTTCATTTTTAAAAAATCTTAGTTCTCTCTCCTCCTCCACCTGAAGCATTTCTATATTTCTATCTTCGATTCACTAATTCTGTCCTCCATAAAGTCAGTGCTATTTTTATGATTTATAGATTATATTTTATCTCGTTAATTGTGTTCTTCATATTCAGAATTTCTGTATAGTTTTTCTTAAAGGTTTCAATTTCTTTGGTGAAGCCTTCCTTCTGCTCATTAATTTTATCCCTGAGCTCATTGAACTGTCTTTCTGAGTTTTCTTGTAACTTGTTGAGTTTCTTTATGACAACTGTTTTGAATTCTCTGTCATTTAGATTGTAATCTGTGACATCAGGATTGGTTTCTGGAGACTTGTCATTTTCCTTCTGCTCTGAAGTGTTACTGTAGTTCTTCATGGTGTTTGATGAATTGATCCTCTGCTAGCACATTTGTGGTAGTATCACATCGCAGATTCCACCTGCCACCTCTGTGCGGGTGCAGGAGCTGTGTTTTCTGATCCTACTTCGTCTGCTGGTAGTTGTGCTGGTAAGGCCACTCTGCATTTGCATGGGCTTACGAGAGCCACTTGACAAGTTGTGCTCACATGGGTGGGGTTTCTGTGCTCAGTGGGTGGGCCACTCTCTCATGAGTGGGGCCACCATGCTCTGCAGGGGACTGGCTGAGGTTCTTTGCTAGGTAGGAGGGGCACTTTCCTTCATGCAAGGCAGTGCTGTACTTGGAGGTTCAACTGAGCTGCTACATTTGGTGAGTGGGGCGCTTCATGGGAGCTGAGCTGCCACCACTCAGTGGGTAGCGTTCCCACAGGCAGGGTCACCTCAGTAGGTGGATGCTCCTGTCCGCTGGACTACCCCTCCAAAAGTGTTCATGCACAGGCCAGGCTGCCCTTGTCTCCACCTACAGTCATGCTGGTCACTGTGTGAGAAGCTGCAGCCTGGATCATTGTTGATGGGGAGGAAGAGGGGTCTGCTCACCTAGTTTCACTGCTTCGCAGGGTTCCAATCCACTCACCTTCAGATGTATAGCTATGTGGATCTCTCAGGCATCCTGTTGTGCTGTGTACAGAATCTTCTGTTGGTTAATGACTATCCATTTTGTTGTAACTTAGATGGGAAAGACAAAGGAAACAACTTACCCTGCCATGATGCTGATTTCACTCTCTGCACTTACTTTTCATGCCCCTCCCCCACTTTCTCACATGTAGTCCCTCTACTGATGCCGGCCCATCACTATGTCACCTTATCCCTTCAAGGATAAACTATCCTCCTAAATGGTTGTCTTCCTTCCAGTCTTTTTTCTCACAATTCAGTTTCCACAGAGCAGTCAGAGTGAACTAAAGTAAAAATCTGATTTTATTACTAATGTATTCAAAATTTTTCAATCTCTCCTTATTACTCTTCAAATGGAATTTATACCATCTCACAACATTCCAGCCCTGCATGTTCTGGTTCACCTCCTTTCTTTCCCCAGCCCTTAGCAGACCCTACACTCCAGCTATATTGAACTATTTGCAATTCCTCCACTCCCTGTGCTCTTCCCCATGATCAGATGTTTGCTTGTCTTTCTCCTTCTGCCTCCAATTCCCTTTCTCCATCTAACCAAGTCCTTAATGTATGTATATATAAAGTTTAGATGATGTCTACTCTGGGTTTGTCCCTGGCCCCACTTCCTCTCTCAGACTTCCCAAGTTTGAATGGGCTGAAATTCCTCTATTCCATACTCTCTTCTTTCATAGCACTTACATTACCATTTGGAAAATTACTTCCTTTATCTGTCTCTGCGGCTAAAGCTCTCTGTAAGTTGAGACTGTGTGTTCTTTATTGTATTTTCATGGCAAGGGGAGATAAAGGGGTGCAATAGTGAATGGGCATCAGTTCCCAGAAGACAGTGCCTGGCACACTACAAACACTCAATGAACACTTGTGAAATTAATAAGTGGGTCGACTTGCCATATGTCTTTAAAATGATACAGTATGCTTGGATGACACAACACATCTCACAATTGTGTTTGGAAACAAAAGAAGTTCACATAAAGCAATTAGAAAAGCTGACGACTATGAGGTAAAATATGAAGCAGAGTAATTTATTTTTAAACAAATGTGTTGTCTCTCATGAGGCCTAATAAATGTTAGAACCTACTAACCAGCCACCTTGGGGGTCTGGATATGCACTTATTTCAGGATTGCCTATCTTCACTCAAAAATAGGAAGGATTTCTTCCATAGAATCTGATTCCTGAGACAGCATCTGAGCAAGCTGCACACTGAAATCAGTTTATTCCTTTTCTTAGTTAACCAATGTGAATATCCTCCTGGCTTTCATGACAACAAGAACCATGCCTCAAAATACAATTCACACTTAGACTATCTTGGATCCACTCAGTGCCCTGTGTGGACACTTTTTCAACAAGACTTGATAAATGTTCATTAACAAGACTTGATAAATACTTGCTGAATCAGAGACTTACAGAAAAGCTTCCCACCATTTTGGGATGATTTTGGCTTCCTTGTAATATGGAAATATAATATTATCCAATTATAATATCACTTTATCAGGAGGATGAAGGATAAGGACACCTACTCTTCTAGGTATTTCTGACCTGTCTAAGAATTCAGTTGATATGTCACAGATTAATGAGAGAAAATTCAATTTAATTTAGTACATATGAGGGTTCCACAAGAATATGGGTCCCAAGGACAAATCAGGTAGTTGATGCTTTTATGCCACCTTGAGCTAAGGATAGGGTGCTAGTGGTTTGGGACTTCAAAGGGGAGAAAGGCAATTCACGTGGAGAAAGAAAAGCAAATGTTTGATAAACAAATGTTTGCTGGGCCATGCAGAGACAATGGGACACAAAGCGAACTCTGATCTCTAGTCTCTGCTGAGTCTCCTCCCACCACACCTAGCCCATATTCCTTGTGGTTATCTCTGGTGATAGCTCTATTCTGGGAACAAGCCCTTTATCTAATTTTTTTTTTTTATTTAGTTAAGGGGGAAGTAACAAGAAAAACTTCCAACAACATAGATAAAACTTGAGGATATTATGCTAAGCAAAATAAGTCAGATGGAGAAAGACAAATACAGTATGATTTCACATATGTGGAAGATAAAAAAAATAACAAACATATAGATACAAAGGATAGAATGGTGTTTATCAGAGGCAAAGGGTAAGAAAGCGAGTAAAGGGGGACATTTGTACAATGATGAATGGAAACTAGAATTTGGGTGGTGAACATGATATACTCCATACAGAAGTCAGAATATAATGATATACACCTGCAATTTATGTAATGTTATAAATCAATGTAACCTTAATAAAAAAGAAAAAGATGCAGTTGAAACCAGTAAATAGTTAGCCACTGATGATTAGGTAGCTAGTAACTGAAAGGTTTTTTTTTTTTTTTTTGCAATTACTAATTATAACTTTTAGTTGTTCACCCACCCATTGTTAACTGTGCTGCTAAGGCAGTATATTATCCAATTCCCACTAGGTTCCTATAATAACATCTCCCTGGTGCCTGGGTCACCATGGTAATGGATGTTTGAAATGTTTTTCAGGAATGAGGACCCCTTGTCCAGTTTAGGCCAGTTAAGACCACCAACCCATGAAGTGCACCTGTACAAATACTTGACAAGTGACCTTCTTGATGTCAAGTAGCTAAAACTCCATCCTCAGATGATGAAGGGGTGTGGGGTGGCAAATTTGCTCTCCTACAATTTCTTTAATACTTTCCTTGATTTTTTTCTCCTCAAATGTGTCTGCTTACAATACCACTCATGATTATTCAGGCCACAGTCAAAATGAAAAAAGAAAAAGCTTTATCTTTACTAACCATATTCATAAACATGAGTTACAGAGTCTAAAACATTCCCCAAAGATGTGTGCTCCAAACTTGCAGAGCAGTGGAATAGGTAAATTGCCTTTTAAAGACACTGCATCTCAGGAAAACACATTCATGAGAATATGAAAATTTTGAGTTTGAAATTTTCTGTCTTAATTTGGATTTCCATAGAAGTGGTACTGAAGCTCTTAATCTCAAGTTCGTGTGCCCAATGCTCTGTAAGCCAAACACTGAGACATTGGTGCTTGAAGATCGAGAAAGGTTTTATTTGAATTGGCCAAAATGAGAAGGTGGGAGCATGGATTTGCTCAAATCCACCTTAACAAAAGCAAAAAGTAGGGGGGTTTTATAGAGCTAAGGGGCTTTGCAGGAGGAGCTTCAGAGAAACAAAGGGGTCACTCCTCATAAGCCCCTGGGAAATCTGACTTCTAGGCACCAATGGCAGCTGGGGGCCAGCCATGCAGTGATTGCAAACCCCCCAAAGTTATTCTCTGTATTCTGAAAAACAAGCTCACAAATCCTTGAGACCCCTGAGTCACTCCTCAAGTTAAGCAAGAAACCAGCAAGTTGCTTATTGAATATCTATGGTAACCCTCAGGTACCCAGCTTTAATCTCCACTGTCTATTTTCCCTTCCTCATTCTTCTAGGAAGTGGCATATGGATTGTTTGGCTACTTCTTGCTGAAAGGGGGTAAAGATGGGGAAACTGAGGAAGCAAATTTTTGAACCTGAGATTGAAAATACTCTTCGGTACTGGGCTATATTTTGCATTTTGCATTATCTTTATTTGATTGATTTTAACTTAGAACAGCACTTTATTCCATATTTGATAACCCAAATTTCCAGAACTCAGAATGCAAGACCCCAAATAATTTTATTTATCTGACGGCTTGGTATCAGCTATCTTAACCCAGAATAGCAGCTTAAGGTCTTTCAGTGGCTCATAAGACCAGTGGCTCTGGTTGTGGTGGAGGTGAGCCTCACTCAGGTATGATGAATCCACGGCTTGACTCTGGCCAATTTGACTGATGAATGGGTGGTCAGGAGGACTTCATAAGGCCCAGTCCACTTGGGGGTTAGTTGATCCTTTGGTCCATGCTCCTTCCCAGACTTAAGGAGAACATGGTCACCTGCCTTGATGTGGTAGGGTGGGACATCTGACAGGAACAGGGATCTGTGAGAGGCAAACTCATGAAGAGAAGTTAGGATTCCATTTAAAAATTTTAAGTGCTGCCTGATTGCTATTTCTTTCTGTTGTATAAAATCTCCCCCCATTGGTGAAGCTGAGAATGGTCTCCCAGACATCACTTCGAAGGGGCTCAATTAAAGCCTACTTCAGGGAGCTACCCAGATGCTCAGCAGGGCAGAGGGCAACGCCTTGTCCCAGATTAAGTTAGTTTCCTGACAAATTTTGGCAATAGTCTTCTTTGTGGTTCGTCTTTTCAGTCTTCCCCATTGACTGGGGCTGCCATGAGGCATGGAGTTTCTAAGTGATCCCCAAGCCTTTTGATATTTCTTGGGTTATTAGGGAGATAAATGCGACTCTGTTGTCACTCTGGATCAACAGTGGGAATCCGTACCTGGGAATGATCTCCTTTAACAAAGCTTTGGTCACTTCATTAGCCCTCTCAGTTCTGGAAGGAAAAGCTTCAACCCATCCTGTAAAGGTATCTATGAATACTAGGAGATACTTGACATTCCCAGAGGCTCGAGGCATCATAATAAAGTCAACTTGTCAGTCCTCACAGGGAGCTGCTCCTCAATGTTGAACCCCCTTGTTCAAAGAGGGCAGCCCCGTCCTGGGATTATTTTTGCCACACATAACATATTGTTGGGTAACTTTCTGAATGATCTGTTACAATTTCAGACCGACTAAATACCTTTGGATCCACTGCAAGGTGGCATCCCTCCCATAGTGAGTGCTCTGATGGGTTTGATTAACAATTTCTCCCAGAAGGGCTTCAGGTACCAGGATGAGTACTTCCAAGGTACATTTCCAGCCAGGATGCTCCAGAGAGGAGGAGCCAAATCCCCCTTCTCTGGCTCTCCCTAAATCTTTCTGGGGGTAGCTAGGTTGGAATACAGTCAATTTGGGGAACTAAGGGAGCCAGGAGTGCCTTGAAACTCATAGTCCTAGCAGCAGTCTTGGCTGCCTGATCAGCCAGTTGATTGCCTCTGGCTTCCAAAGTGTCCCCTTTCTGATGTCCAGGGCAGTGAACGATAGTTACTGCCATGGGGTCATTAACGGCCTCTAAGAATGTTAGCATTTCCTGGCAATATTTTGTGTCCCTCTTTCCAGCAGTCAAGAGTCCCCCATCTTTCCATATGGCCCTGTGGGCATGGACCACTAAAAAGGCACATTTTGAATCTGTATATATATATTGACTCTGTTGTCTTTACCTATTTGAAGAGCCCTAGTTAGTGCTATAAGTTTAGCCTTTTGAGCTGAGATACCTGGAGGTAGGGCCTTTGTTTCCATGGTGTCCTATAAGGTGACAACTATGTACACTGCTTGACATTGCCCCTGATCCATGAAGCTGCTTCCATCAGTGAGCAATTCCAAGTCTGGCTACTCCAAAGGTTGGTCAGTCTAATCAGGTCAACTAGAGAATACCTGTTCAATGATCTGAAGACAGTCATAAAAGGAGGGCTGTTTGACATCAGTAGGTAGCAGGTTGCAGGGTTTAAGGTAGAAATAGCTTTTAACTTACCTCTGGGTGGTCTAATAAAATAGCCTCATACCTACCTAATCTTCTTGAGGTTAGTCAATGTCCTCCATCTGTTCTAAAAAGGGAGGACACAGCGGGGAGTGTGCACCATGGTGGGTTGCCCCAGTGTGAACTTTTCAGTTTCCTGTAGTATGTCACTGGTGGCGGACAACAGCTCAGAAGCAAGGTGGCCATCCTCTGACCAACTGCTTAGAAAAATGGCCACAGGCCTCCTAGTGGGTCCAAAGTTCTGGGTCAGGACGTCCAAACTAAGGCTCTGTTTCTCATGTACAAAAAGAGCAAAGGGCTTTCTCAAATCTTGGAGTCCCAAGACTGAGGCAGTTAACAATTTTTCTTTAACCTGATTGCATTCTGGCACACTTGTGTCCACACCAAAGGCTCGAGGTCTCCTCCCTTTAAGGCCTCATACAGAGGTTTTACAGTTAATCCTGAGTTGGGAATCCAAATTCAACAGAAGCCTGCCATCCCTAAAAATCCCCACATCTGTAAACGGGTGGTGAGAGTCACTACTTAAGGGATTGCTTCCCTCCTATCTGGGAGCAGGCTTCTCTGTCCTTCTGGCAGTTCAAACCCTAAGTATTTAACTGTCTTTTCACAAATTTGGGTCTTCTTCTTTGAAACCTTGTAACCTCTATCTGCTAAGAAATTTTAAAATTCAAGTGGTGTTTTCAGCTGAAGCTTCCTTAGATTTATTAGCAACGAGAACGTCGTCCACATATTGTAAGAGCCCCTTCCACCAGCTGAAGTTCCCTTAGGTCCCTAGCCAATATTTCCCCAAATATCGTGGGCAGATTTTTAAAACCCTGAGGCAAAACGGACCAGCAAAACTTCTGTTTGACATTGGTCTTGGGACCTTGACACTCAAAGGGAAAGGCCTCTTGGGAACTTTCATCCCAGGAAATGCAGAAAAAGGCATCTTTCAAACCCAAGACCGTGAACCAGCACGGGTCTCCTGACAAAATAGTCAGCAAAGTGTTCAGATTGGGAACCACTGGGTGCACATCTGGAGCCATCTGATTTATAGCTCGAAGGTCTTGAAGGAACTGGTATTCATTGGACTTGGGCTTGAACACTGGTAAGATGAGAGTATGGTAAGGTGAGAACGTGGGTGAATCAAGCCCTGCTGCAGAAAAACCTTCAATAGGGCTTTACCTCTCTCTGTGCTTTTTCTTTCAGAGGGTATTGTTTTAGATTGAGGCTCTCATGCTCCTTCACAGGAACCATGGTTTTGGTCCATCCCTACCTCCCACTTGCCTAGATGTCCTCTCTTACCCTATCAAGAATTTCCTCAGGTATCTCAGGTTGAGATCCATCATCAAGCTGCAACAATAGCGTCTGAGAGGTGAAGGCAAGCTCGGAGGGACCTCCACTTCTAAGTGTCCTGGGGAACAAATAATTTGGGCATTTAGCCTGGCAAGCAAATCCTGACCCAGAAGAGGAATAGGGCATTAGGGCATGTATCTGTGTATGTAACTGTGTCTCAGGTTTGTATTTCCAAGATGACAGTCCAAGGGTTGTAAAAAGGGGTGGGTCATTGTCTTCACTGACACCCTGGTAACAACCATAGATAGCTTCTTTTGAGTTGGGGGATAAATGTGTGTTAACAACAAAGTAGGTAGCCCCTGTATTGATGAGAAAGTCAATTATCTTTTTGCCCACTGTCATTTGAACCTGAGGCTACTGTGGGGATATAAAGATAGCTTGCTTCAGTCTAAGCAGGGTCCCTGGGCCTATTCATTCCTCATCTGTATCTCCCCCTTCTATTTTCACCATTTGGGTTAAGGGTGTCTCACCTTCTTTGGCCATCTTCTACAACCTGGGACACTCCTTCTTCTAATGTCCTTCTTCCTTACATCATACACACTGATCTTTCCCCAGGGTTGGACGTTCTCCTCTTATCTTTCTCAGTCCCTTTTTTGATCTTCTCCCTGTCTTCCCAATGGCTCATTGATGGAGCACCACCACCAGCAGAGAGACCCGCTGCTTCATTCTCCATTGTTCCTTCATGTCCTGGACCTGATCCCTACAGTTGTAAACCTTAAAAGCAAGGTCATCCACGTGGGAGATGGTCAGCATGAGGGCCCCATCGACCTTCCGTAGTTTCCTCCTGATTCTGGGGCACTCCCACTGCTGAAGGTCATGTTGATTACTTTCTGATTCTCTGGGGCCTCAGGGTCAGCACTGGTGTACTTCCTATAGGCTTGATATGCTTGTTCTAAAAACTGGGACGGATCCTTCTGTGGTTTTTGCTGAACTTCCTGAACTTTGTGGGACTCCTTTTCCCAATCCTTCCAGAATACATTTCCTGTAGTGTTCTAGGCAGAGCATTCCCCCTCCATTTGTATCCCAGTTTAGTTCAACTGTGGGACAGCCTCAGTGAAATTAGGCTGATTGTCCCCGTCCTTGAAATGGAGCCAATGGGGTTCCTCCTGTGCCTTTTCAATAACCATATGGCCTCCCCCGCTGTGAGTAAAATATTCATTAAGGCTTGAATGTCAGCCCAAGTGGGATGGTATGTCAAAAAGATGGAGGAGGGGCCGGCCCCATGGCCAAGTGGTTAAGTTCATGCTCTCTGCTTCGGCAGCCCAGAGTTTTGCCAGTTGGGATCCTGGGCATGGACATGGCACCACTCATCAGGCCATGCTGAGGCAGCATCCTACATGCCACAGCTATAAGGACTCACAACTAAAAATATACAGCTATGTACTGGGGGGCTTTGGGGAGAAAAAGGAAAAATCTTTTTAAAAATGATGGAGGAGAATAACTCAGTCATATGCTTGGGGTCCTGTCTATAGGATGGATTATTGTTCTTCCAATTAAAAAGATCCAAAATAGAAAAGAGGGGATGCACTCATATCAGGCCTGCTGGCTGGCCATTAGCATTCAGTCCTCTGATTGGGAACTCGGGGAGTGGAAACTGCCGTTCTTGAGAAGCCCCTGCTCCCTGGCTGAACTGCACACCCTACTACCTACGGGAAGTAGAGAGCACATCCTGGCTTCCCTCAACTCTTGGGGGTTGTGTGGTCCCTGCTACCTGCCTTCCATAGGGGGGTGGGCCGGAGGTTGCCATGAGTGAAGGGTCCACTGGTTGCAGAGTGGGAACCAGCAGAGAGGGTGCTGGCTGAAAAGGAGGTGGCACAAGGGCCAGCAGGGTTTCTGGCAGAGCTGTGGGAGGATTTAACGCATTGATCAAAATTTCATCATCCTTCTTCATGCCCTTGGCGTCCAACAGAACTAGCTCAGGCTTCTCAGCCCTTTGCACCATCAGATTGTACCTCCTGTGGGCTGACTCATTTTAGTGCAACAGCATAAAAGCCTGCACGTACGAGATTTCATCCCATTTCCCTTTTCTGTTACAGAACAACTCCAATTGCAAGATGATAGCATAACTTAGAGATCCATTAACAGGCCACTTTTCTCAAAAACCTAAGGAGCACTGTGGCCGGGAAACATTACAAAGGAAACTCATCTTTTCACATTTCATAGGCTCATAACTAAAAGCCATCCAGTTTTGAAGTATGTGTCCCAGGAGGCTGCATTCAGGGATGGAATTAGTGTTTCCTGTAGCTGACTCACACACACGAGTGCACCCACACAAAGACAAAATCCAACACCTGCAGGATAAAAGCAAAAGGTGAAGTCCAACAGTCCCCTCTCTCTCTCCCATATGAGGATGCCTCCTTTCAATCACACAAAATGCAAACAGGGAGACAGGGAATTTGTAGCTGCGTGTGTTGTGATGACTCACCCAGCAAAGCAAAATCAAAAGTACTCATATCTGATAAGACAAATGCATCCACACAATGACAAAAAGTAGACCGAGGTCCAATACATTTCTCCACTCCAAGTGAGTGCTGCACCAAGGGCGGTTGATGCCAGTGGGAAGGGAGGAGAAGCAGAGGAAGTCCCCTGGGCAAAGACACCTAGGCAGCTGCTGGGGACCACCAACTGCTCAAACCCTCACTGTGCCCATCCAGCTACGGACACAAGACTCCTGGCTGGCTCACCAGAATTGATACCTAATCTCTTAATCTCAAATTCATGTGCCCGAGGAGCAGTCAGCCAAACATTGAGACATAGTGTTTGGAGATGGAGAAAGGTTTTATTCAAATTGGCCAAAACAAGGTGGGAGCATGGGTTTGCTCAAGTCCACCTTAGCAAGAGCAAAAAGCAGGGGGATTTTATAGTGCTAAGGGGATTTGTAGGAGGAGCTTCAGAGAAACAAAGGGGACACTCTTGATAAGCCCCTGGGCAATCTGAATTCTGGGTTCAACAGCTGCGGGGGGCCAGCCATCCAGTGATTGCAACCTTCCCAAAGGCGTTCTCTTTTTTCTGCAAAACAAGCTCACAAATCCTTAAGACCCCTGAGTCACTCCTCAAGTTAAACAAGAAAACGGAAAATTGCTTGTTGAGTATCTACAGTAACCCGCAGGTACCCAGCTTCAGAAACAGATGTTGACACAGGGATTCATTGCAAGTAGATTTGGAGTGAGATCCCAGGAAACATCAGTAGGGGGGTGAAGAATGAGGACAGGCAAGAAAAAGAAGCCAAAAGAGACTGCCCTTGTGAGAGACTAGGTTTCAACCTCAAGGAGGTCGCATTGAACACGCCTCAGAGATTACTCACTTAAACAGTGAGAAATAGGGTATATTTAATGCACTGACTCCTATTAGTTGAGAACTACTGGCATTTACAGCCCACCTGACATCAGGTCAAGCATGTTATTTTAGACAGAAAGTCACAGGTTCTTGTAGCACGGGGAAGCTTCCTAAACTACTGAGTCCTAGGGAGACATGGGTGAGAAACAAGGTCATGTCTCTAACTTCACTTTGTATAGTCACGTTCTAAATTGCAAGATGCGTTCATGGATCTTAGATCCGAGATGCATGGAACTTAGACTCCATCACATTTCAGCTGAACCCAGGCAGTTTCACCTGTTAAAGTCTGTCTCAGCTGATACACAGGCACAAAAGAATTATGAATTTCTTTAGCTTCATTAAATTTCTGCAAATTGCCATCCAGTAACTGGATTTCTAAACTCTTTTCCGGAATTGTCATTCACTTGTTTTGTGCCTAAATAGGACTAGTTGCCTCAAACAAATTAAACTTGCTTATTCTCTCCTTTAAATCTCAATTCAATCCACCCTAACTGCCTTTGAGTTTGAGGCCCAGTTCTCTCAGAAGCAGACCCAGAAGTGCAGATTTTAGTGCCGGGGATGTATTAAGGAAGTGCTCCCACAAGAAACCAGGAAAGGAGGAAAGGAAGCAGAGGAAGGAAGAGGAAGACGCCAAGCGAGGGTGTGATCTCCGTGAAGCCCCAAGCTGCAGCCTGATCCTGCAGGGAGCCTGGAGTATCAGTTACTCTCTGAAAGTGGTCTTGTCTAAAGACAAAGGAGGCTGGCTATTGTATTCCTGTGGTCAGTCAGGCATTGACAACAGGCTGCCCTGGGGGTTGTAAGGCACTTCTGGCTCTCTATGCCCAGGCACAACCCTCTACAGCAAACATGAAGAGGTTGGGGTATGGATGCACAGAGCTGGCTAAAGGGCAGTGAAAATGTGGGACCCTTTTCGGCGTTGGGCAGTTAAAGTGGTATCTATGATTTGCATCAGCTACCCCTTGTTTTGGTGGCACTTCTCTGGATGTGATTTGTTATCCAGGTAGGGCAGAGTGGACTTCCAAAGGGATGTGTGTACACTAGAGGCATTCAGGGTGTAAAGGGCTCAAATTTTTCTGCAAAAACAGAGCTGCAAGTTTCAAGCTTACACCAGCAATTTACCTTGCTTAGCTCAAACCACAAAAAGTGCAAAAGGTACTTTCTTACACATGTTTGCTTCTAAGTCACGTTTTCTGAGAAGAGACAGATTTCACTTTCAAACTCACTTCTCAGAAATTGAAAAGAGTTAACTGACCTTAGAGGTCATCTGCCTGCTCCCCCCTGACCCAATACCGCATTCCTATTTCCTGGTTCACTTGTCTCAGGACCAGCCCTGGTACCCATAGGACCTATAAAATGTACAATCTCTGCTAATTGCCAGATGTCAGAGCCATTTCACTTTTAGACTGACCCTTCCACTAATAGCAAATAAAGCCTATTTTTTCCCTCACCTCTATATCCTCCAACAAGAGATTTTTGTCAGTTCATCTTGCAGCTAGACAGTTCTTGCTCCAGAATTCCTTTACGCACACCCTGTCCTGAGCTGGAATGTATGTGCCAATGTTGAGTTCAATGCTGCGGGTTACACTGATGTCGAAAGGATCTCAGAATACAAATGATACTAATGTGCCCTCAAGATGTTAGATAGAACAGCTGCAAGAGAGTTTAAATATCATTGAGCCAGACCCACTTTCCATTGTTCTGTAGCCTACATGTCCCCATCAGGACAACTAGAAAGCCCTAAAGACACTCGTAGCCAGTTTTGTTAAAATTGCCATCATCTACTAACAGAGGTTTAGGCCAGAAGGCTGCCTAGATTCCTGGTTCTCAGAGAGTCGAAGCAGTCTGCTAATTTAAAAATACAAAAAAAAAAAAAATGGGAGGGAAAATATCGTTCTAAAAACCCATGTTAATATTTTAAAATATAAGAAAAATTTGATGAGCTATAGTTATCTTTCAAGTGAGTTTAAAAGGGGAAGAAAGAGTTTAAAATCATCTATTACACATAATAGAGACATGAAAAGTGAACTCTGGAAATAGCAACGGTAAGCTTGTAGGATAAAAGAGAAAATCCAAAATGCATCTGAGAGCCCACTTACTGTGAACATCCTGGTGGCTTCTGTTTAAAAGAATTTCTTCTAAATTGCAAAATAAAATACGCCAAATTGTAGCCTGCAAAAATATGTTTAATGTAACAAAATAAAAACATGCATTCAAAGTACATATAGGCAATAGTGTCAAAAGAGTGATTAATCAGCAAAAATGTTGTAATTCATGCTATTACGATTATTAAGGGAATACTGACACAAAAACATGGCCTCAAGTATGTATTAAATAAATAAATATTTAAAAGCCATCGAAAGGGAGAAGGAAGATAACGTAAAATCATAAATAATAAAATAAATAAAATAATAAAACAATAGAAAGATAAAATGTATATGATAATATAGCAATATTAATAGTGCTTTGGGAAAAATTCATAAAATGTATGTATTTGAATTTAACCAATTAACCAAAAACTGAAAAATATAACAATTAATAAAACTTGGAATAAGAAATGAGAAATTTAGCAAGTGACTTGTACCTGTATGATATCCATATTTTATTGTGTCGACAATGATTTAAAGCAGTGTCTGATTCCCCTAGTGGATGGAGATCTTCCTGGAGGGGCTGCGTGGGTTATGTTCAGGTTTTGGTTACCCACATCAGAAGTGCTTAGGAAACGTTTTTAAAGCCAGCCATATTGGTCAGTGGTTAAGATTCAGTGCTCTCACCGCCGGGGCCCGGGTCCGTTTCCCTGTCAGGGAGCCACAATACCCATCTGTCAGTTGTCATACTGTGGTGTTCTGTGTTGCTGAAAGCTATGCTTCTGGGATTTCAAATACCAGCAGGGTCACCCATGGTGGACAGGTTTCAGCAGAGCTTCCAGACTAGACAGACTAGGCAGAAGAAACTGGTCACCCACTTCTGAAAAAATTGGCCACAAAAACCGTATGAATAGCATCAGAGCATTGTCTGATACAGTGCCAGAAGGTGAGAGGATGGAGCAAAAGGACAGAGTGGGGTTCTGCTCTGCCGTTCACAGCGTCGACTAGCAGTCGGAATCCCCTCAACAGCACTAACAACGACAAATGTTTTTAAATGAATGAGAACTCAAAGAAAAAGAGATTTTTAAGTTACAGGATAAGATCAAGAGATTTAAGGGGCCGGCCTGGTGGTGCAGTGGTTAAGTTCGCATGTTCCACTTCGGTAGCCCGGGGTTCACTTGGTTCAGATCCCGGGTGCGGAAGTGGCACCAGTCGGTGGGCCATGCTGTGGCCGGCGTCCCACATATAAAGTAGAGGAGAACGGACACAGATGTTGGCTCAGGGCTAATCTTCCTCCAAAAAAAAATTTAAAAAAAGAGATCTAAAACAATGTAAAAGGTTAATAGTGACTTAAAAATAAAAGTCCCTAAATCTGACATATTTACTGGACAATTTTTCCAGACATCTACAAAGAGGGAAAAGGAAGATGAGAATAAACTTATTTTTTGAGAGGGAATGTGTGCCAGGCACCATGCTCAGATTTTACATTTTAAAAAAGGAGACGTAAGAATCAGAATGGAAGACACTGAAATATCGATGTTTGTGGATGATATGATTGTACAACTAGAAAACAAATAAGAGAAAAATGAATTCTAAAACAAATTAAGCTCTTTTTGTTGTAGGATACAATAAAATCCCAAGCATTGCAATTAAATTCTTGAGTACTAATGATAACTAGAATGTGAAATGAATGGATTCTATTCCTGGCAGAAAATCCTGAGTACTTAGGAATTAATGCATTAAGAAATAGATGTTCATCCAACACACACACACAAACAGACCCCACTCGACATGTACAAGAACACACACATTAATGAAGAGGGAAAGTCCACAAGATTGAGAAGTTTTTAAAATACCTGTATTATTCAAAGCAGGAATCCATTTCAGTGATTTTATTTCTGAGTCCTATCATCCGCCAACCACACTCCATCCTAACTCCTATACCAGGTTGATTACCCTAAAAAAGAAATTTATGATGCATGCCATGGTCCAAAACTTCCTCATCCAGCAGATCCCATCCCTGCTACAGCACAGAAAAACATGGAAATACAAAGTCTTACACAAGAGCCCATGCATTCTTGATGTATCTCCACTTATAAAATTCATAATTATTGGATTTTTATTACAGTAAGAACATTTAATATAAGATCTACCCTTTTACAAAAATTTTAAGTGTACAGTACAGTCTTGTTAACTGTAGGCACGTTGTCACACAGCAGATCTCTAGAACTTATTCATCTTGCATAAATGAAACTTTATGCCCTTTGAATAGCAACTTCCCATATCCTCCTCCCCCAGCCTGTGCCAACTGTCATTCTACTCTCCGCTTCTATGAGCTTAACTATTTTAGCTTCCAGGTGGAACCATATAATATTTGCCTTCTGTGACTAGCTTATTTCTCTTAAAATAATGTCTTCCCGGTTCATCCATGTTGCTGCACTTACTTTTTATATTCATTTTCTGATTTCTCCAAAGTTGCTTACTTATTGACCTCCAATGCCTGTGCCACACGCTCTCCACCCCTGCATTTTTCCACTTGTGTGCCTTTCATGAAGTTTTTCCAGATTTTTCCAACTTAGGCACCCAATTTCTTCATCATATAGCATTTTGTCTTCTATGCTGCCATTTACTGCAACTTTACACTTCATTGTGACATTTCTTATACGCCTCACTTGTACTCCAATTTTACAGTCTGTGTGTTTCTGTCTAATGTTTCCAATTAGGTTAAACGTGTGTCCTATACAACATTTATAACTCTCAGAGTATTTAGCAGAGTGTCTTACACACAGTAATTATGCAGTAAATATTTAATCAGTTGGATGGTTGTAAAGTCTTCAAGAGAACATTTCATTTAACCTAGTAACCCTAAGTCCTAGGAAGTATCTGCCATATAGAAAATGCTCAATAAATATTGTGTTGTGTATGGGGAGAAATAGAGAGAAAGAGAGTCTGCAATGACCTGGCTGAGACCCTTTGCTGAAAACAGAAATCAGTCCTCAGTTCTCTTCTTGACCTCTCAGCAGCATTTGACCCAGCTGGTAACTCCTTCCTCCTGGACCCACTTCCTTCCCTGGACTTCTAGGATACTCCCCGTCTCGGTTTTCCTCCTATGTGTCTGACTATTCCTTCTCAGTCTATGTTGCTGTCTCTTTGTCTTCCCCCAGCCTTTTCACCGTGGAATGCCTCAGGGGTCAGTCTCTGGTCCACTTCTCTTCTGTTCTCTTCTCTAACACTCACTCCATAGATGATCTCATTAGTTTGTGGTTTTAAAAAGTCCATGTGATGATAACTCCCATATATATATATATATATATATATATGCATATCTCCACCCCTGATACCTTCACTAACTCAAACCTACTTGATATTTCCACTGGGATGTCCAGTAAATGTTTCAAATTTAAAATATCCCAGGGTGAACTCTCAAGCTTCCTCCTTGAGCCTGCTCCTCCAGAGATATCCCTCATCTCAGTTAAGAATGGAAACATTCTTCCAGTATCTCAGGCATTCTTAACCATTTCATTCTCTCACATCTCAATCCATCAGCAAACACTTTTGTGCTCTAGCTCCAAAACATATACAGATGCTAACAACTTCTCACTTCCCACCACTCTACCAACCTGATCTGAGCCATCATCCTTGCTCCCCTAGATAGTTACAACAGTATCTGCAATTGATTCCCTACACAGCAGCCAGAGAGATCCTCTAAGAATGTAAGTCAGATCATGTCACTTCTCTTTCACTACCCTGCAAAGGCCCTCCATTTCACTCACAGCAAAACTCAAAGCCTTTATGAGGAAATATCCAATTGGACTTCTCATGTTCATTTCTGACTTCGTCTCCTACTAATTTCCCTTTTGCTCACTCCCCTCCAGTTACAATGCTCTCCTTGCTATTTATTTCAGTGGTCTATTGCTCCATAACAAACTACCCCAAAATTAACTGGCTTAAAATAACAATTTGTTGTTCTCTCTCTGTGGCTGTGGAGGTTGATTGATTTCAGCTGGGTACTCTTGCTTACGGTGTCTTGTATGGTTGCAGTCCAGTATCAGCTGGGTCTGAAGTCGTCTGTAGGCTCAGTGGGCTGGGCATCCAGGATGGCTCGCTCCCATGAATGGCAACTGATGCTGGGGCTGTGGACCAGAGCGCCCCCTTATGGCCTCTCCATGTGTCTTGAACTTCTCACAGCCCAACAGCTAGGGGAGTCAGCGTTCTGTGAGTCACCATCACAAGAGCAGGTGTTACAGGAGGCAGGAGACAGAAGTTTCCAGCCAGTTAAGGGCCACACGTGGGACTAGCACAGTGACACTTTAGCCATATTCAGTTGGTTTGAGCACTCACGGAGCCAGACAGAATTGAAGGACATGGAGAAATAAATTCCACCTGTTCATGGGAATGTGGCAAGGTGGCATTGCAAAGGAGAATGTGGGATGGGAGATATGGTTGGGGCAATCTTTAGAAAATATAACCTGTTCTGCTACTTTTCGAACACAACAGCTATATGCTCACCTCAGTGCCTTACGCTAGTCTTTCCCTCGGCCAGGAACGGTTTTCTCTCAATATCAGCATGTTTTGCTCCCTCATAGCTCCAAGCCTTTGCTTTCTCACTTACTTCAACTCTGCTAGTTTGTCAGCTTCTCAATGAGCCCATCTTTGACCGACCTATACATTATACATTATACATCAACACTCTCCCTGTGACCAAGTGCTCATAACTGCCCATGACACACCCACTGAACTTGACCAAACTTTAGACAGGCTCTCCCCCTCCTCCTCACAGGCCCCCCAAATTTGGCTTATCTCCAAGTTTACCAAGCACTAAACCACTAAGGTGCGGACATCCTCTCTTAACAGCTCATTCTGAGAATCTGCTAACCACAGAGAAAAACATTCTGCTGTGAAAAAGCCCCAACAATGCCACCTGTTCACCCCACCCACGTGCCCTGCTTTCCCCAAACTTCCTGCCTGTTCTGCACACCCCTCCCTAAAAAGAAAAGCCTTTTTTGCTGTTTAATTTTGAGATACTTGCAGATTTCTGGGATCACAGCATTGTACCTATTACAATAGTCATTTAAAATAGTCTCTCTTTATCTAAGTTAATATTTATTTTGTTTGGACACTTAGGAACCCTTTTTACCCTACATGATTTTTTCATATTGCCTATTACTTTCTAAAATACTGTATATTTTATCTATTTATTATGTTTATTGTCTCTCTCCATTAGAATATAAATGGGATGTTTTTCTATTTTGCCTACTAAATTCCCATCACCCAGTACAAACATTGTAGGTGTTCAAAAAGCATTTGTCAATTTGGTGGATAAACTCTCATTTGTGGTGTGGTGAAAGCAGGTCCCTCTAACGTAGTAAGATAGAGAGTAAAGAAATATTTGCTGCTGATCTGCTGGAATTTCATTCTCCATCCCAGATAATTGAGTTTCTACATGTTCCTTGAGCTGGCTCCTCATTTCAATGATGTGGTTCCTGTAAAACTCTTATTAGTGCTCTGTCATGTTTTCCTTAGTCCTTCCTAACTCCATTCCCTCTCTACTCTTGACTTAGCTCAGAAACTGGAGCCTGCTTATTTGTGGACAGTTTTCTCTGATGCTGCTAGCCCTCTGGATTTTTAATCCTTTTGTCTCAGCATGCCCCTGTTAACTCGTGTTGAATTCATGTGCAATGCAATTCCAGCCAGGGGTCTAGACCTTCCCCGTAGTCTGGTGCATGTTCTCAGATACTAGATTGCCATCCGGTCTGGACTATCTTTCCTTCTTTCTGGCCGATCTGTCTACCCAAGCTTGCCGTGCCTCACTGGTCAAGGAAACATTGCTATTGCTGACACCTCCTAGACTTCCACATCCTACTTGAGTGAACTGAGTCCCTCATAAACACATCCTGAGGCAGAAGAAAAAGAAACTTCTTTTTCATCATCACACATAGGTAATATTTATGGAGTGAATTTTTGTCAAAAAAGATCTGAGGGCACAGTGATCTTATGTTCCAAGTTATTCCTCCATTCCTAGGATCTAGGAAGAGAGAGGAAGAGGAGGAGGAAAGTTAAAAGTCTTAGGTTTGTCATGAGTTTCAGTTCATGACCACATAATCCACCTTGTTATGACACACTGCTGCTCCTTTAAATAAAGTCCCAGAGCCCTACTAAAATGAATGGGATACCATTGCCTCAAAATTTCACCCAAACATCACTAAAGAGGGGCAGTCTTCAAATTTATTCAAACTCACAAATCTCTTGAATTTGCAAAATTGAGCTGGAAATCAGTTGAAGAAAATTTAAGAGAGTTCTGGCCCTGGAGAGAAAGCACAAGAGTTTGGACAGTCCAAACAACAGGAAAAAACTTCCCTCTCATTGAAAAATGAAAGTTTTATTTTCATCCCTTTGGTATCGAACCTGAAGTGAGTTCACTCATCCGTTGCTCAGCAAGCCAATCTCTGACACTGGGTGCAGTGGAAGAAAGGAGAAATTTTATTATTGCACAGTGCTGAGTGAGGAGAGAGGGCAGCTATCGCTGAAATCCCAAACTCCCCAAAAAGCTAAAGGAAGGGTTTTTATTTGGGGTTTTAGGTAGGGAAGTGGGGAGCATATGGCCTTGATGGCTGGAGCTTTCCCACCAGCCTGTCTTTGGCCTTGACACTGCTTGCAGAGAGGAGGGAGACCATGACCTTGCTGGTCAGCAGCTTGGCAGGGAGGAGATAATGAATCCAGGTGCTTGTCCTTGGTGCTGTCTGTCTCCATGGAGGATAGTGGATTCCGGAGCTGGGAAGCCAGAGAGTAAGCAGGGAAAGAGTATTTTGGTTTTAACTTCATATATGCTGGGTTTAATGTGGGGAAACTGATATCAGAGCAGGTATCACCTTCTTTCAAATGTAGGAAATGTCTCATACTGTCTCTGACATTTTCTTTGTCTTGTTTTCCAATTTTAGACCTTCAAATGAGGCAGGG